GGCCCCGGCCCACGGGCTCGGCCAGGCCAGTGAGCGACGTCACAGGTACTTACTTAGAGAAGAGCCGCGAGACCCCTTCTGAGTGGCAGTAGACTGTGTGGAACAGCCACGAAAAGGAGAGGCAGAGGATGGCGCCCAAGAAGAATAATCCGAAGACCACCTTCTCCTGCAGCGGGGCCACGAAGGAGATGTTCGGGCGGAACATATAGAAGACCCCCAGGCACAGGAAGAGCACGCAACCTGGGGGCGGGGCGGGGAGGGAGAGGGGACGGCGTCACACACTGGTCATGCTTTCAGTCCTTCACAACCACAGCGACGCCTGAAGGAACTGAAGCTTATCCAAAGTGTTGGTCTACTTCAAACCTTGTCGGTACCACGTACTCCGCAGCCTCACAGGCCGAGTGCACAGAGTAGCATGTATCCGAGAGCAGAACCCAGAAAGGAAACGGACAGCGCTGCTGCCTCCCAGCAGACTGAACAAGCCCACTTCTGCCTCTAGGCCCAGGGGAAACGCCGTCTCTACAGCTTTTGGCATCTTGTGCTGTAGCCCAGGTCTCAAAGGCCCGCCCTGCATCTTCTTCGGCAGAGAGTGCTGGCTCTCTGCGGAAGACGACGGCTCTCCCCCACCCACAGCTGCCCAGGAGCACCGTGCTTCTCGGGGCCTCGCCAGGTGGCCCGGCAGAGCCAAGAGTTAAGAACGGTGAAACGCCTGTTTGGGCTGCTTCAGAACCGGTTCTTGGGTGTTCTTCACAGTAAGATTCCATGTTCTTACTGCTCAGGGGAAGCCTGAGTAACGTACGACAGGCACAGAAACTAAGATGCTGAACACTGACTAAGTGATGCCGTCTGGTCCATTTAGTAAAACACGTGCCCCTGAGCTAGAAGTCAGCAGTGGAGCTCGTCTCAGTCTGCAGCCTCCTCCCACTCCGTCAGCAGGCAGGGACTCGGAGCACGAGTGGAAATCAAACGTGTGATGAGAACCCTACGTCAAGTGGGGGGAGGCCAGACACGATGCGGTATGTTCACAAGACTGTGCAACCATCACCACTGCTTAACTCCAGGACACTTTCATCAGCCCCAGAAGAAGCCTTCCCCTGTTCAGCCATCTCCCACTGCCCCCCGATGACCACTCGTCCAGCCTCTGCCTCTCTGGACTGCCCCACGGGGGCGCCCGTGTGCGCCGATCCCACGATGCGTGGCCTGTGTCTGGCTCCTCCCATCCCGGCTCATGTTTTCAAGGCTGACCCATGCTGTAGCACGTTACCAGCAGCTCGCCCCTTTATGCTCATCTATGTTCCGCTGTGTGGATGGATCACACTTTGTGTACCCTCAGCTGGTAAGATACTCAGGTTGTTTCCACCTTTAGCATTATTAGGAAAAATTCATGTACACATTTTTGTGTGACAATGTTTTCAGTTCTCCTGGTACAGACCTAGGATTAAACTCGGTTTAACTTTCTGAGGAACTGCCCAACCACTTCCTGTGGGGGCTGCACCGTTTCATAACCACCAGCACCGCGTGGGCGCGCCCATCCTCCCACACCCCGGCGGAGCAGCCATTCTGGTGGGCGCTCGGGGGTCTCTCGCTGTCCTTCCTGAAACAGCCCACGATGGTGAGTGACTTTTCACGTGCTCACTGGCCATTTGTGTGTCTATTCCAGTGCCTGCCTCAGTTTTAAATCTGAATTGTCTTTTTACTGTTTAGTTTTAAGAGTGCTTTACTAGTTAACCCTCACCAGGTAAGTGATTTGCAAATATGTTCTCCCCCATTCTGTCAGTTATCTTCCTATTTCCTTGTTAATGTCCTCTGACGCTCAAAAGGTTTTAATTTTGATAGAGGTTAATTTAGTTTTCCTTTGGCTGCTCGTGCCTTGGGTGCAAATTCCAAGTGTCACCTACTCTAGGGTCACAGAGATCTACACCCGTGTTCTTTCCTAGCGAGTCTATAGTTTGAGCTCTTGTGTTTAGGTCTCTGGTCCACCTTGAGTTAATTTTTCTACGTGGTGCAAATTAGGGCCCAACTTCATTCTTCTGCATGGGTGACTCGGTTGTCCCCAACCCCACCTATTGAAAAGACTCTCCTCTCTCCCACTGTGCTGTCTCTTCAATGAGCAGTCATGATCACTTTCTACTTTATGACAAACTTAATTGTGAAAATTCTGAGTAATGACTTTAGAAAACCAGCTTAGTTCTGTTAAGTAACTACCTTCCTCTCCATGCTCGTTAAAATATGCTACCTCCTTTTGTATGGTGCCTTTTCTTTGGCACCTGTTTTAAAGACATGTCTGAAAATCCAATAGAGAAACATACAACTTGGCTATAATTAAAATCACTGCATAAACCACGACGACCACAGAGTCAACCAGAGAAACCACATCATTAGAATCTAGAAAACAAAACCGGCAGATCCAAAATAAGTTCTCTCCTCACCCTCACCCATCGCCGGGGGAGCAAGGGTGAGCCACGTCACACCACTGCCCTTACATACCTAAGAGATGCGTCCAGATGTTACCCGTCTCTGTGTGAATTCGGAAAATGCTCCTGAAGCAGGCCCGGAAGGACGGCATGGGGGGCCGGTGTCCGTGCAAAAGGAAGTCGTTGTCCTTGAGCCAGTCTGGGAGCACGTCGTGAGGGATGACTCGCCATCGCCCTTCCCAGACCTGGGAGAGCATTAATTCAAACGTGCATTTGTCAGTGCTACAACGCTGACAACTGCCTCTTACCACATTGTTTCATAATGAGAAAAATGACTTACTTTTAGAAAGACAAATACATTCAAAAGGTATCATGTCCTATATTCTGAGTTTTTAAAAAAGACTGAGGGAAAAAAATATCGGGGCGGGGTTGGGGGTATTCTTAGGAAAAGCAAAGAGTAAATAAACCTAGAGAAAACACCCAGAAGAGTGATTTCAAGCTTTGTTCCAGTCTGGCTGGAGGGAGGGTGGGAGCCAAAGTCCCACCCACACAGATGCCCACCCTCGCCCCCACGACAGACCGCAGCTCTCCTGCTCCATGTTCCCTCGGCAGGGAAGGGACACAGCGTCACTCGTGTGCCCTGCTCTCCTCCCCCTCGACTGGCCTCCTGCCACAGCCAATACAAATGCATAGAGAAGACAGCGCAGGAGTCAGAAAATCTTGGATCCCTGCCATTAACTAGTTGCATGAGCTGTAAGTACAAATCTCAAGCCTCAGTTTCCTCATTTGGTAAGATGAGGACAAAAGCGCTTCAATCACTCCACTGAGCAGGTGTGAGGCTCAAAGCCCGTCAGAGAGCGAGCAGGCCCCAGCAGCCACCTGTCCGCTCTCCTGAGAGTTCACGGCCAACACTCGGGAGACTGCCCTTCAGCCCCCTCCCTGCCAGACTCTGAAGGACAGGGACCAGGGGTCCGCAAGCCCTCCCGAGAGCCTGCCAGCCTCCTGGCCCTGCTCCTGCCGATGTCTCTCTGCCCACAGGACACACTCCACAAGGGTCACATAGGCCAAAACTTGCAACTTGCTTCTGGGAGTGAGAGCGGAGGGAGATCTAAGGAGCCGGGTGGGTCTGCAGGCTCCACCGGGGAAATGACCGTCCCTGCCCCGGCTGTGACAGACACCGCTGGACCGCACCTGCCTCCGCTCCGCACTGCTGTCCTGCCCTGCTCCCCCTTGGCGCCTCCGTCATGGACATTTCAGAGAACGGACCCTCTGCAGGGCTCCAAAGTGAGGACTAGCAATTGAAGAACAGAAGTGACCTGTGACCCTCTTACAAGTCTCACCCTCCCCACTTCCCCTCTCACTTTCCAACCCGAATCCTCAGGCCTGTGCTAAGCCGGCCATTCCCTGCTTGTTCCTAACTCACAACAAAACAGATTGATGCCAAAAGACTACTGTAGCTTTTCCATGTCTACAGCTAACAGATCTACCACTTTCAACAGCGGCTGTTTAAGATCCTCCAAAGGACTTTCTGGAGAGAAAAAGTCACACCAAGACACTGAATTTGTAAACCTACTTTGAACCTGAGTTACTGCGGAGATGAGCTCTACAAGATGCCACTACTGTTGCACTCTGGGAGAATTTTCTTTTCTAAGAGGGAAGGAAAGACGGAACTCAGTCCTTACTCCCTCAAGCAAAGCACAACATGCGCACAGCTCTGCTGTGAGCCTGTGAAAGGCACTACTGTGCTATCACAGCCAGAACAGTCAAAAAGAACGCCGCGCCTCACTAGTTGCGTACGCATACAAGGCTGGAGCGGTCTTCCCCGTTATTCTGAACAAGCATTCCACCCCTTTAAAGACCCAGCGCGGAGCTGTGCTTTCAGAACCACTCTGCAAGCGCGTCCTCTCCGACACCGCCCCCACACGGTCAACCTGCAAGCCAGGCCTGGACAGGTCTTCTTCCCGGGGGGAAGGACAGGGTCACAGCGTAGTCAAAGATGTGCCTGTTTGTAAGCCTGACAAGGACAATGCCTAAATCAAACACCTTAGCGATGGTCCACTGGGCTTGTGTTGGACCACAGAATTTAATTCAAAAACCCACTCCCTACAGCACACCCCCTCCCCCACATGGCCTGACTGCTGGCGGAACAGCAGCAGCTGAAGGCTGGGGGAGGGGCTGAGGCCACTCCTGGGCAAGCGACAGCGCCTAAGTGATTTACTCCCCCTAGTCCGTGAGAAAAGCTTTTCCAAAGGGGATGCACACCAGCAAAGTGGCGGGATACACCATTTACACTGTCCGTTTACTTGCTTCCCGTCCAAGAAACAAGCTCCCGTGCCGTCAGGTGGAGCAGGCGCCAGGGCGGGCCGGCCCAGGAGCTTCCTTCTGCTCGCAAGCTGCCCAGGGAGGGTTACGGGAATCGCAATAATTTTTGTGACCCACTCATTTTTCTTCAGTAAATTACAGTCTGTAGCAAACAAATACCGTATTTATTCTCCCGTTAGCTGTTACATTAGAAAGTTTTATTTGCTTTATTCTCTGTTTTAGTTTAGAAGGGAGAAAAGACAGTCGGATCAGACACAGGACCCACTGGTCCATAAACATAAAAGCCCCTAATGGTCAGTCACTAAATATTCAACTTTGGGAGATTTAACACCAAGCTTGCTTTTTGAAAAACAAAGTGTATCTTTTTTATCCCTCTGTGCTAATTCTCCTGAGACAGTGATTACCAGAATGGGTCTACTGTTTTGCTTGGCTTTGCCTTCACCAATTTTCAAACACTGATTAAAACTTCCTGGGCCCCAAGTAGACCCATAAATGTTTAGATCCCTCCCCACCCACCCATCTCTTTGTCTCAGAAGGGATGCCTGTATTCAGACTGTAACACTCTCTTACGAGTTCTGGTCCCAAGTACAGTACTCTAAGGCACCTGGCCTCAGTTACTTCCAGCACCATCGTGAATGTAGGAAAACCTAAACTGACTTTTCAGGAACTAAGACCACATGCATAAAATGTCTTGGTGTCATAACACCCATAAAAAAGCTAAGTGCCACAAAACATTTTTCTCCAAATGATCAAGAGTTCTTCAGAAATACTCAGTAAGTGCATCTGTACACACAGACTGACTGACGCTGACTTTAGATCATGCCTGCCAGGGCTCCTGCGGCTCAGATGAATCAAGTGACCTGTACCAGTGTCCCTGGCCACACGCAGCCCCAGCTCCAGCTACCAGACCCCCGCAGAGGTCCTAACAAATCAGAGAGTGCACCAGCTGTGGTGTGCACTAGACGTGCGTGCGGCCTGACAACCTGGGGACCCCTACCTGAAGGCCCCTCGCTCTCACCGTCGAGCAGATTCAAGGGACCTGCGGATGGCACGTTAGGACCTCCAGGCATCAGACTCCCCCAGTTTTGTTTCACTGTGTCTTGTCTAAGTGGTCAGCAAGGCCTGTCAGCACGTCATCATGGCTGCTGCAGGCACACAATGTCCCGTGCCTGCAACAGGGCTTCAGTCTCGACACGGCTTCTGTCTCCGCTTCACCACACGCTGTCCCCTCCCCAGAGCACGCCAAGGGCGAAGGTACGCCCGGTCTCCTTAAAGGTTTCTGTCTGGGAAGGGCTGAATGCACAGGGTGGGCACCTTACCTTACAAACAAACTCCTCCATCCTCTCCATCGCGTGGTGGGCTTGCAGGAGGGGGGACATGCCCATGAACCCCTCGTCCTCCTGGGACGCCTCATCTCTGCACTCCTGCTCCTCCAGGCTCTGCAAGGCAATCACAGAAACCATCAGGGTTGGGACCAGGAGCCAACGGAGGCCAACAACACACTCTCCCTGAGGAACTGTAACGAAATTCTCTGAAGGTCAGAACAAGAACTCAGATGAGTAACAACACAGGAAGTAAGGTCAGTTTATCAGACAAGCATGAGCGCTGAAAATGAACGAGGGCCGCTTGATTCTTCTCTGACAGACAGATGGACTGTGACAACAGCTCGCCTCTGTTTTCAGTTATATTCACAGGCCACACAATACTATTACACGTATAAAGGTGACAGGTTACTGGGCGGGGGGAGTCTCCAATAATCCAGCGTTTCTCAACCTTTGTTTCACGAGGGTTCCACCTTCCCTCCTCGCCCCTGCCCCTCGAGCACGTTTCAGACTGCTTCCCCATCCCCATGAACTTTCAATTAACAGATGTAGTGTTTGTCTGTGTGCACTGCGGCCCTGTGGAGGGCTACAAACCGCTGTAATAGTTAAGAGCGTTTCACTTCCTGCAACCAAGCCACTGTCACCAGAGAATGCGCCCCCGCCCACAGCAAGTCCACCTCCTCCGACTCCCTTCAGCCCTTGGTCTGGGCTGCTCACCTGACAAGCCGCGCACAGCTCCCGTCCCACTGACTGATCTTGTTTACTTCATGTTTACAGAACTTCACGTTTTAGTGTGTCACTTCCTAAACTAGATTCAGTGTGTGTCTCTCCTTCCCCACGGCTCCCAGGACAGCTCTGGGCCAATATTTTATATACTTAGAAAGTGGCTGGGTTCATTAATGCTTTAAAAGCTTAAACAAATATTTACAGGGATAGTGTCTTATTAAATATAAAACTAAAATAAAAATTCCATTAAAACATCAATTACACAAAAACAAAACAGCATGAAATTAGACTGATTTTAAATTATTAAACATAAACATATATATATATAAAACAGCTCAAATATTTATGCATGTTTAACAGGTACTCAATTCTGAGAACACAGAGGAACAGAAACAAGGATTCAATCTTGATTCCCAGACAAATAAGTCACACCAGCAGTATCCATAAAACTACACGTAAGCACAGGGAACCACAGTTAAGTGCGTCCTGTACTATCCGAAGTGAACCTGACCGAGCTGCAGACAGTCTGAAACACCGACGTGGTTACTGATAGCCAGTTCGCGTGGAGAGCGAGACTACGTGCCCTTGGGTCGGTGGAGGACCGCTGACAGGGCCAGGCAGCCAGCCTCACTGGTGACCCTGCAGACCCAGGGAAGGAAAGCAAGGACGGGGTGCTCCCGGGGCAGGCACCCCCATCCCCACGTCTACAGGGAAGAGCAATGAATGGCAGGGCGCGGGGCAGGGGAGAAGGGGGCAGCTGTGTCTCAGCAGTGCTAATCCATGCTTACAAAAAGGAAACGTCCGGTTCAGAACCTAAGAGGTGTGGTCTCATCTGCATGTCAAACAGAGAACAGGAAACAAGCTGGCTTGCCATAATGGACTGAGTGAGTGAAGCCAGATAAAACCTGATTACTGATAAACTCTGTAATCTTTGACAAAATTACATACAATCTCTCTGAGCATCCGTCTCCTCGTGTGTAAAATGATTTTCTCGATACTGAGTCTACACTGCAGATCTGTTTTAAGGATCAAGGATAATGGACAGGAAGCTCTCTCAGGGCCTAGGACTCAGAAGGCCATCTTAAGTGGTGCCCTTTATTACGACGATGCGCAAGGTGCTGGGGACACTGGAGCAGGTGCCACAACCCAGTGGAGAAGACACACCCCTAAGCAAGGAACCACCTCAATGAACTGGTCAACGGAATGGAAAGGGTCTGATGACGCAAACAGAAAAGAGAAAAGTGAACTCCGGCACTGCTGGGAGGTTTAACAGAAAGGTAATATCCGAAAACGTGTTTCGAATTCACCAGTCAGACATGACAGGGGAAGCTAAGAGCTCGCATCCAAAAACACAGCGCTTAGCACAGCAGCGGCAAAAGTCAACGTGATGGGAGGCAAACAGGTCAGCATGGACACAATCCAAGTCCGAGTGCCTATGGACAGAGGAAGGACATGGGACGTGGCAGAGCCAGCAACAGAGTATCACTCAGTCACAAGAGCGCAGTCGTGGCTAAGCCCGAGAACAGCGCGCTCAGTGAAACGGGCCACACACAGCAACGCCTTCCGTGAAATACGTGGAGCAGCCGAACCACGGGCACAGAAAGTGAGCATGAGGTGGCCATGCACTGGGCTGAGGGAGGAGGGAATTAAGAGTCGCTCCTCAGCTCCTCTTGGGGCGATGAGAAGTCCTGGAAGTGATGGTAACGGCTGCACAGCACTGTGAATATAGCTAGCGGCACCAAATCGTGCATTTTAAAGAGGTCAGAATGGAAAATTTCACGTTATACATTTTGCTACAATCCGTTTTTAAGAAGCTCAAGGGGTCCACAGCGGCTTTATTCATAATGTCAAAACCTAGAAAAAACTCAAGTATCTATCAGGAAAAAACTGGATAAACAAGTGTGATATTTACATAATCGAATACTTCACTCCTCACTTAAAAATAAGGAACTACACAAAATCACACGGGTGAGTAGCAGAAACACGCCAAGTCAAAGAAGCCGACTGTGAAGAGACTGTGTCACTCAGATCTGTTCCCGCCAAGGCCAGCAATGAGCACAGACCCGAGCCGAGCTCCGCGTGAGGGCGCTTCCAGGGGAGGCGGGTAGAGGAGGGGTGCTGCCGGGAAGGGGCGGAAGGGAAGTTCCGAATGACGGAGACAATCCGAATCCTGACCTGCACAGTTGTCACACACACGTCCCTGTGCTACAGAGTTATGATTCGAGTTACTTTATTTTACTGTGTTTAAATTACCCCTCAATACAATGTTTGTGGAAATCATTCAATAAAATGTTTTTAAAAAAAAACAAGAGCGAGGAATGGAGGCAGCTTCGGATACTGAGGGGCTTCAGACTTTGTCCTGCAGGCAAAGCTGAGCGTTTAGAGGACACGACGTGCGGCAAGCTGCGTGTTCCCAGATTTGCATTTGGAAACTATCTGGCAACAGAGGGACGGTCAGACTGAAGAAGGGAAGCAAAAAAGGAAAGAAAGAAATTAAGAAAATACTTTAAAAGTCTAAAGCAGTTTGGTGTCAACTAGGGGTAATTTTACCCCCACGCCCTTCCAGTGGACATCTGGCAATATTATCTGGGTTCATTCTGACTTGTGACAAGTGGTGGGAATGCTACTGGCATGTGGCAGGAAGGTGCCAAGATGCTGTTAAACATCCTACAAGGACAGCTCCTCTCAACAAAGAACTATGGGCCGGAGTATCACTAAGGGTTGAGAAGCTCGGATCTAAAGACATGAGGGGGTCTGTACACCTGAAGCTGTACATGCCACAGCATATTTTACCTCTGAAAAAGAGAACCAGTGTGATAAAGATGAAAGGCCTTGAAGATCAGTCTAACATGAAAATAATTCATCAATCTGTTGGGCGTTTATCTGCTCTAGCCCAACTCAGTTCAACAGAGCACTTAAGTTTAACAAATACTTATAAAAGGGATTTTTTAAAGGTAAGTAAAATACAGTCTCTGTCTTGCATGAGCTTATCATCTTAACAGGGGGCTGAATGAGCCCCGTAAATGACCA